AAATAGAAATTAAAAAACTAATAAAAATGTCAAAAGCATACCCAGTGGTCCAGGTTCGGTCGGCTCCGTCTGGAAATCCACTGCTGGAATAAAAACAGGGTTATATTAGTCTTACACTTTTAAAACTAAACAATAAAAAACTATGTAACATCAACAGTGAAAAAGAGCGTAAGAGAATAAACAGCAGTCGCACCGTACTGTCCTGGTTCTGAGGTCTGAGCTTGTAAAACCTGCTGAGAAACAGCTGGATCTGAAGATGAAAAAAACAGCAGCTCGTGATTATGAGACGAGAGAGAATGTGAACACAGACACGATGCTGAGGTGTGAGGGACACTTACAGTAGAACGGATCATAATCCTCATAGTTCTGATCCTGAGCCAGAACCAGCCCTGCAGAACAAGACAGATCAGAGATCAGTGCGAGTGTGTGTGTGTGTATGCGTGCGAGTGGGAGAGTGAGTGTGCGTGCGAGTGTGCGTGTGTATGCGTGAGCGTGTGTGTGTGAGAGAGTGTGAGTGCAAGTGTGAGTATGTGCGTGAGAGTGTGTGTGTGTGCGTGAGTGTGAGTGTGTGTGTGTGTGTGTATGCGTGCGAGTGGGAGAGTGAGTGAGCGTGCGTGTGTATGCGTGAGCGTGTGTGTGTGAGAGAGAGTGTGAGTGCGAGTGTGAGTGTGTGCGTGAGAGTGTGTGTGTGAGTGCGTGAGTGTGAGTGTGTGTGTGTGTGTGTGTGTATGCATGCGAGTGGGAGAGTGAGTGTGCGTGCGTGTGTATGCGTGAGCGTGTGTGTGTGAGAGAGAGTGTGAGTGCAAGTGTGAGTATGTGCGTGAGAGTGTGTGTGTGTGTGCATGCGAGTGGGAGAGTGTGAGCGCGTGTGTATGCGTGAGTGTGAGCGTGTGTGTGAGAGAGTGAGTGTGTGTGAGTGCAAGTGTGAGTGTGTGTGAGTATGAGCGTGAGTGTGAGCATGTGTGAGTATGAGCGTGAGTGTGAGCATGTGTGAGTGTATGCGTGAGTGAGTGTGAGCGTGCGAGTGAGTGTGCGTGCGAGTGTGAGTGTG